TTTTTTTTTAATTTTTAACTCAAGAGTTGCTTTAAGCTTTCAGATCACAGCAATTTGCGTCCTTCATGCCCTCCATTAACCTCAGCACTAGTCGTGTGTCTGATTGGCCTAGCCCCTATGGCCAGTGACTTGCCTCCATACATTAAGATAGTAAACGGAAGGACACGAGGGTTGGCTTAGGTTTCCGTTGGTCTGTTGGACAGCACCTGGTGACGTAGGTAGATTGGTTTCGGTTTTTGGGACTCCTGGACAGTCTCAGTGATCCTCATGAACGTGATTGGCATCTGTACTATCTGATTATCCTCTAGAATCTGGCACTCAATGGAGTAGATACGTTTCCTGAGGGGGTACTCACACCAGGACTTTTTCTACTTATCTGTGGGTGTAATTCCAGTCAGGTGCATCCACGCTGGGTCGGAAAAGCGGTCACATGCGTCCAAGAAAGTCCTCTTGTGAGTATGCCCTGAGTTTTGAAGTTAGTGTTTTGTGAAGGTTAGCCCTATCTCATGAACATTCCAGTCGTTTCTCCAAAGTTCTTTCAGCCGAAGCCCGGGTGATGACCGCTGTACCTCAATTTGTTCTCTATAAATTTCATATGGGACGCTGGGCCCGGTTCCCAGCACGTTTTGGTCCCCACGAATAGACGGGAGAATCGTTCCCATTTAACAAGAAAAGGGGAAGAAGAGAAAAAGGGCAGCATTCGACAACTATATTGGTGCCCACCTGCCTTCCCTGCCACGCTTATCCAATCATAAGGAGCAGGAGGACCCGCCTGAGCCTGTTATTTGTGCTGATCTGGTCACTCTACCTCATTGGACACCATTTATCACCTCAGAGGGTTGAAGGCACTACAGTGGAGCTGGTCCTCCCCTCAGTCTCGAACATACTGTTCCCAAGGAACGAAGTGTCTCAGTCATTCTCGCTCGGGTTATTGACTTGCACCCGCACTCGTGCACCCTGTTACCCTTAGGTGTTCTAGCCATGCAAACGTCCGTATCCCTGTTCTTGCCCTTTCTCCTCATCCTGCTACTTCCTGTGCTCCTCTATTCCGTAGTCAGTATCGACAGAATGGGTGGCTTTCAGTTCCTTCCTCTCTCTCTACACCTTCATCATACGCCAGGCGGATACGCTGGCTTTGTTCACGGCGTCCAGACTGGTGGCGTTCTACCCAATCACTCCGAAGGAGATGCGAGGATCCTGGGCGTGCAACGGCGAGACCTCCCTCAAGATCCGAGCGGCATAAGAGCCGTCAATATCACATTTCTGGCTGGCTCTTTTGACTATGTCGGTGAGGTAGTTCCAGAATCAACGCCTAGTAAGAGAATGTTGAAGGAATACATTGACATATCCCCCGACAATAGTACCCTCTTCTACGTTGAGATGGAGGCGGGCAATTGGACGTCGTTTGTTGTCATGAGAGCCATCCCTTCCGGATCCACCTCTCCTCTTGAAGCTGCAGGTAACTGGAACCTCTCGTGGACCATCTCCCAAGTAGCGGGGCCATTCACAAATGTGAGCGGGCTGCTGGTACTTGACGAGAGTTGCCTGCTTCTCTCTTTCCACAGCGAGAATCTCATAAGAAAGGTGAATGCCACAAGCGGGGAAGAGATGGGGTCGATACCTGTGAGGGAGCCTTACTCCATAGCCAAACATCCAAGCGAAGAAACGGTCTTCGTGGCATCAAATGATAGCATAATTGCTCTTTCGCTGATCCTCCCGGAGAAGCAGCAAACGCTCGTGGGCCCAACGATAGCTGTTACCAAAATAGAGAATGGAAGCTCCACAGATAACTCGACTGCTGCTGAGTTTCGATTTCTGCATCCCAGCATAGGGCCTCACTCGCTTTCTCCCAATGGAAGCCACCTTTACGTCGCTGATGAGGATAACCATGTCATCAGGCGAGTGAATACGGTCACAGGTGCCACCGAAACCATAGCTGGGCAAGAGGGCAATGCGTCTACCAGTAATGGTTATCCGCGCAATGCAAGGTTCTCGTTCCCAAGGTGCCCGGCTATGATGTATGACGGTCTGAATCTCTTGCTCGTAGAGAGGGCGCCTGGGATTCGCTGGCTCATTTTTGGCCAGCAAAATGGTGCTGTCAATTACGTGAGCACAATGCTTGAGTCCAATCAGTCCATTGGATGTGTTACCTTCTCTAAAGATGACCGCTTCATGTTCTTTCCAGCTGATACCCACATTTTCGTGCTGGTGAACTTCACAATGTTCCCACATGGTGTCGCCTCGCCAGCCCCTCCCGCACTCACCAGTTCTATGCCACCGTTGCCACGCAGTGAACGCACCCCCTCTGGCGAGCAGGATCCCGGAGCAAAGCCCAACGGGGGCACGACCTCGGAATCACAATCCTTTAGACACCTTACTCTTGTGGTCGTGCTTGCTTTGGTGTTTGCTACAGTACTCTTAATTGCTCTGATCGTTCTAGTCGGTATTATGCATCGCCGGTCCGCCGACGTCGATACGATAAGGCCGACTTCTCCTCCAGACCGTCAGTATCACCAGGGTGCCACATCGACAAGACTGCAACAGGCAGGGCGTCCTCAGTATCACCATGGTGCCACATCGACACGACTGCAACAGGGAGGGCCTCCTCCAGCGCAACATGTCCAAAGGCATCCTCGAGAGGTCTGTAACGTGAGACTCCGCACAATTCCCACTGCTTGTGAGGCAAGACCAGAAGAGGACCCGGCTTTTCCTCCAGACCCTCAGTCTCTCCAGGGTGCCACATGGACAACCAGGACAAGACCGCAACAGACATGGCATCCTCCAGTGCAACATGACTGGAGACATCCTCCGGCGGACGGCAATGCGAGACTCCACACAATTCCCACTGCTTGTCGTACAAGACCACAATTTCAAGGCGAGCCGTCGGAAAACAGAATGCTCATGAACGAGGTATGTGACCGCCCAGACGACACCTTGAAAGATCTCGACGGACCTTTGACATCAGACAGGTGGGAAGCCGACGACCCAGACCCAATTTGTGCACCGGCACGCAGGGACGGTAGATACCCAAATGTCATGGCCAATACCAGGGATGTGGTTGAAAACCAATCCAACGACGAGGAGGATGAGGTGAGCTGAGCATACGAGGCAAGGAGAAGCTCAGAAACACAAGGCCGAGTCCTCTGGAGAGTAGAGGTTCTACCAGCTCGTGCACAGGAAAGCGGCAAGTGCATTCCGGCTTGGCTTTTTGCTTTTCCTTGGTCGAGATCATTACGCTTCCGCCATACGACACCCAAATGCGCTAGGGAAATCCCGTTCCAATTTCTGAACCATTTCCCCTATCAGCTTAATATTTCCTTCATTACACCAGGCCCCCAGGGTAGTGTCATGATCGCTCATCCATCGTACCACCTAGTGAGGGGAAAAGGCCACGACTCGACGAGCGAAGCCTCTAATCTGCCACTGTAGTAGTCCCAGCAAACAGAAATTTCTGCAGGCCTATTTCTGTCATTATGGATGCATACGACTGTGGTCCAATAAAACATGTCCCCTTCTTGTTTTTTTTACTTTTAAGATTCAACAGACTCTAACTCACTTTTCTGGCACTCCTCCACAGTTTTATTTCCCTCTGCTTTCTGCCTTTCTTCTCCTTTTGTAAGATTTGTTATCCTCTTTCGTCAGATTCTCATAACCCAGCCTTCAACTCTATCCCAGCCTCCACATCCTCGCCCATCCACGCATGGCCCAATGGGGAGATCACGTTGCTTCTGATTTCTCAATAATATTTTTTCTGTGACTAAGAGGAGGACCCTGGTTTCGCAAACATTACGTAATACTTATATCAATTTATATGATGTTTCCTGTGATTCGTTTGTTATTTGATTCTCGAGTTGTGTGAATGCCACTGAATGGCAAGGCTTTCGGTATCAGGGTGTGCTTTCAATGCCTTTCATATGTTTTCGGTTCTCAAGTTCTGAATGGGCACTGGTTATATTTTTTGTAATTCCTGCAAGACTTTCGGTATTAGAATAACGAGGGTGCGCTTTCCCCAAAAAAAAAAAAAAAAAAGGTGCGCTTTCTTCAATTTGCATGTTATTTCGAACTGCGACGGGATATTAGCATGTCTTTGATGTTCTGTGGGGTAGCTGGGTGCTTAATCTGCGATCGAAGTAAGTGTAAGTTTCGCAGAGTCTATGTGTTGAGGTATTCAGCTGGATGCGTGATAGCGAGTCGGAATGTATGCTGGATGCATATGATGAGATGAGATGTACCGTACGCATGCTTTCATATGAACGAGCGACGTCGTCGATATCGATACTTAGCTTAAGAATGCATGCGGGGTACGTCATAAGAAATGTTCGAAAAGGTGCAATGAACCGCGAGTCCGTCGCCCTCAGACCTCGCACAGACATGCAACGAATATCCAGATGAGTGCTCACACTTGGAGGCGAGAGCCGAGATACAAGAATCTCGGGAGAGATTGATAAGCAGAATATCTTCTCTCTCTCTTCTCTATCTCTTCTCTATACTCTGTTTTCTTTTTTTTTCTTTTTTTTTTTACTGTTAAAAACTGCGAAGGGGCCGACGTGACGCTTCCCAGCGGGCCCTGGGAAATTCGTTACTAGTAAAAACTGCGAAGGGCCCAACGTGATGCTTCCCAGCGGGCCCAGGGAAATTCAGGGCCACGCGGCAGTCCCTGTACAAGGGGAAATTTGTTGCCGCCCAGCGGGGCCAGGGAAATTCGGTGCCACGCGGCAGTCCCTGTACAAGGGAAAATTGGTGCCGCGCGGGGTCCGAAAGGGGGCGCTGGGGGGGGGGGRGGGGAAGGGCAGTGCAGGGAAGGGGTTATGTGGCACTGGTCTGCAAAGGGGCAGTGATGGCTAGCATTTGGAAGAGCAGAAACCCTGAAGTGTTTAGGGGAGAAACTCTCTCTGCACACCAACAGATTGCAATGCCTAAAGAAGAGATAAGATTAGCCATCCGGACAGACTGGCGTTCAGTGAAAGGAAGAAAAGGAAAAAAACGCTCTTGGATTCTGAACTCATGGGGTCTTCATGGTTCCTTTGCTAGAAGGACATCTACGAATCGCTGACTGGCTGCTTCCAGGCAAGAGCTAGGAAGGAGGGTCTCACTAGCCCAGTGAGTTTACTCGGTCACAATCAGAAAGGCTGCAGGAATAGAACCTGTTTTATCTTCCGTTTTTTTCAGGGAGATGATGTGGTCGTGGGACGCTGGACCCGGTTTCCAGCAAGGTTCTGGTTCTACTACCGGGTAGAATTGTGAGGACCCCGGCCTCGACCAATATTAATTTGCAATAAGAATTGTCAGCTTCTCAAAAAAAAGAAAAAAAAAGAAAGGGAAGTGCATCTTACCACATTCTACCGTAAGATTCGTTCTCACGTAGCTTTTTTGGTGAGCAGTGGAGCGAGGCCCAGTATCATGTCCTTTCGCTAAAATTGGAACGATACAGAGAAGATTAGCATGGCCCCTGCGGAAGGATGACACGCATAAATCGAGAAATGGTCCTTTCGCTACTGTTCGCGATTGCGGGGCGTTTTTGGTGAGCAGTGGAGCGAGGCCCAGTATCATGTCCTTTCGCTACTGTTCGCGATCGCGGGCCGTTTTTCTTCTCCCCCCGTTTCCCACCGGTCTGGCTGGATGATCTGGCAGCTGTCTCTTATACACATCTAGATGTGTATAAGAGACAGGTCCTAAGAAGATGTGCGAGGGGGAACAGCAGGTCTTGCTAGGATGGGGAGGAGGCCGCGTGAGGGGGAGGAGAAGGTCGCACAAGGGGGGAGTAGGTCTGTCTCTTATACACATCTAGATGTGTATAAGAGACAGGTCCAGCACTGACCACAATAAAATAATTCTAATTTACAAGCATCCTAAGGCATGCTGATGCTTTGGCCTATGTGAGGGGGAGGAGGAGGTCCTAAGAAGATGTGCGAGGGGGAACAGCAGGTCTTGCTAGGATGGGGAGGAGGCCGCGTGAGGGGGAGGAGAAGGTCGCACAAGGGGGGAGTAGGTCTGTCTCTTATACACATCTAGATGTGTATAAGAGACAGGTATAGTCCATGTTGTAGGGGTAGATTCATTCCAATTTGCTCATCCTATCGACGGAAATACCATGTTTTGGTCATCTTACACACACACACACAGACAAACATTACCAGGCTTCACCAAATGAACAAAAAAGGGGATAGAATCTTCCCATAGAACATGGAGTTATTCACTGCCACAGCATGGAAATATACACTGCCAAAGACCAAAAATGTGGCAGTGTATATTTCCATGTTCTAGCGACAGATTCATCCCCATTTTGCTCATCCTATGGATCGAAAACTCTCTCTCTCTCTCTCTCTCTCTCTCTCTCTCTCTCTCGTGCGCGCACGCTCCTTAGTCCATACAGACACCGGGATTTCTTTTTAATGTATCTCTGTTCGTGACAGCTCCTTAGTCCATACAGACACCCGGATTTCTTTTCAATGTATGTGTGTGTCCGTGGCGCGTATCTTACTATGTTCTTGCCGAAGTTTCTTTCTCATTTTGCACAGTAGCAGGTTGCTCAGTTGATGCACACATGAAACTGTTGAATTCCAGACGTGAGTTCGTATCCAGCACTGACCACAATAAAATAATTCTAATTTACAAGCATCCTAAGGCATGCTGATGCTTTGGCCTATGTGAGGGGGAGGAGGAGGTCCTAAGAAGATGTGCGAGGGGGAACAGCAGGTCTTGCTAGGATGGGGAGGAGGCCGCGTGAGGGGGAGGAGAAGGTCGCACAAGGGGGGAGTAGGTCGTGCAAGCGGGAGGAGGAGGTCCGAGGAGGGGGGGGAGTAGGTCCTGCAAGCGGAGTGGAAGTCGTGGGAGGCGCAGGCGCAGGTAGCACAATGGGGACGAGAGGTTGCAGGAGGTCGGGAGGCGGAGGAGGTCGCACCCATGGGAGGAGGAGGTCGTGCCAGGGGTAGGTGTTTGTGGGAGCTGGAGGCGGCCGCGAGGGAGGACGAGGAGGTTGTGAGGTCGCACAAGGGGGAGGAGGCGCGCCGGCACGCAAGAGAGAGAGAGAGAGAGAAAGAGAGAGAGACTCCTTTTTTGGGGGGGGAGGGCCCCCATAAGTTGAGATATATGTCAAAATGTCCCTAAAAGATATGGGCACAGTGGAATGGCCTTTTGGGCTGACATGTTTGTGCTATGCCCCTGTCAGGCGGGTGTACAAATTCGCTTGGCCCTCTGCAATTGCACCCATGAAAACTTGGCAACTGCCGGGGCATTTTGCAAAGTTGGGCACCATTATTAGGGGTTCATTGCAAAGATGGGATCCAACTGATGGCTGGGGTGTTTCACAACATGTTTTTGTCATCGGGCAGGTCCACTTGTTATTATACGAAGGGTTAATCACAAAAATATTGCTTTATCTAAGTTTCACAGCAAAAATATAGTCCGGTCGAAGTTTACTCTCCAGAAATATATGTTTCGCAGCAGCTTTACCGGGCCCACCGAGTTTCCCAGCAAAAATGTTGTTTTTTCCAGACTCTGCGAGCATAGGATCCGTCGGCCTCTTGCCTCAGGGACAAAGGGACTCAGCCCTGAGGCCAGAGACCCAGCATCAGGCTTGTGGCGGTACCTGCCTGGAGCACAAAAAGGCCTGGGATCAGTACTGGCCATTTCATATTTTCATTTTCTCTGTTTTCTTCCGTTCCCAAGCAGCGGGTCGACGTTTGAACGCCTCGATAGCTGAAGACTCTGAGCGCAGGTGGCAAGCAGGGAAGTGCGCACCCTGTCTCTTATACACATCTAGATGTGTATAAGAGACAGGTCTACAACAGACTGGAAATGTTTTTTTTGTCAC